TTTTTTTTTTTTTTTTTTTTTTTTTTTTTTTTGCTGTTGATGTTAATGAAATGGGTCAAAACGTTTACGTTTATACAGTTATTTGGTTGTTCAGAGTCGGTGATACCGTCTAACGGAATTCTGAATGTAAAGTTGGCCAAACGTGGGAACAACTTAGGCATAGTAGTGCGATGTGAAGCTGATGGCAAAAAGGGTGAACCGGTGATCATATCGGATATTCGGACTGGAAGTGTTGCACATCGGTAAGAAGCTTTTGGCAGCAAACTGTTTAATCGTTTTCTGTATGATAACTGTAGTGCAGAATAAACGATCAAAAAAAAAAATTTTTTTTTTGATCTTTCTTTACTTCAGACATTTCTTTTATTTTCAATTTTGCAGTTATAATCAATTAAACAATAATAACACCGAAAATTTAATGCAAATCCATGTGTCAAAAAAAAAATACTGTTTGAAAAAATAAAATAGATTTTTTGTTTGTTTTCTTTACGGTTCAAAAATTAGCATTAATATAATTGAATATTACGAACCGCTATGTTAGAAAAATATCAATTTTTTTCTCGACTATAGTTTACCAAATTTTTTTTTCTTATGCAACGTTATGAGAAAAAAAAGGACGAAATTATGAAATAAAATAGTTATTCTGTAGTTCAACTACTATTTCTATAATTCAATAATGAAAAGTTCAATTTGTGCCATACGAAATCTTTCAAAAAAAAAAAATCAAAATTTTTTCAACAGAAAATTTATTTTAATAGGATGAAATCGTCCTGTTTGGCAGTTGTTGAAAATTGTTTCCAGATGTGGCTCAATTCACGTCGGCGATCGGGTACTGGCCATCGACAACATCGCATTGAATTCCTGTACCGTTGAAGAAGCTATGCGATTGTTAAAGCGTTCTGGAGAAGTTGTGAAGTTAAAAATTCGAAAATCTTTCACTCCAACAACAGTTAGTGTTTATTTAGCACCTGAGAGAGCTACATATTAACTTCAAATTATTTTACTTTTTTTTTTTTTTACTGTTTTTATAATGCTAATTTGTATCAGTTAATAACTGATTAGTAGCGCTGAAGTTTTTGGATTTATTAGTGAAAAGATGAAAGTAATTAGAAAAACTATCACTTAGAGCGTTACCGTTTTTTATAGGATGAACCAGACTCGCTACAAAAGGTCGTCTACTCAATTGAACTTAATCGACGTGGAAGGCCGGTTGGAATTACAATTGCATCTCGAGGAGAAGTTGGGGATCCAGTTATAATATCTCAATTGGCTCCAAATGGATTAGCAGAGAGGTATTTTCATAAAATGTTTAATAAGCGTCTCGCTCCACAATTCTTGTGGTCTTTAATTTTTTCATTTGTTTACTGTTAGAGCTTAAGTGATTAGCTTAGTTTATTCTTGTTTTCAACAAAATTTTGTCGTCGACTATCAGTTTTCTATAGTAGTTCAGCATGCGCAGTTTGTTTTAACACATACGGCGTTTTTGACTTAACTATGACTAGTATTCGTGATTTATTATTACGCTAAAAATTCTTTTTTAATTTCTTAACTTGACAAATCAGCTTGCAAGTGATATCTTTTTTTTGTGCTTCTTATTACAGATGAGCAGCTGCATTGAACGGGTAAAAAACGCTTTGATTAGAAACTCAATCTGTGTTTCAGAACTGGTGCTTTCCGGGTGGGCGATCAAATTTTAGCAATTAACGGTGAATCAATAGAAGGCAAAAAAGTATCTGATGCAATTAGGCTTCTTCAACAAAACGCCGATCTGGTAACAATAAAAATCTCCCGCATTCTTGAACCAGCTACTGCTTCATATACTGGTAACTAGTTAATTTCTCAATGACGTTTTTTCAAATCACGATTGTTAGGCTTTATTAGACAATAAAACTCTTTCAGCATTTTATAACTCTACTGGTTTGCCGAACACACATCGTTCTCGGCACTCCCGAAGCACCGTCCCTTCAGATTCGTTTAGCGAAGCTTCAGAAAAAATGGGGTTCATAATTTTCAAGATGATTTTTTTTTGAATTCATATCATCTATCAAATAAAATGACTAACTTGCAACCATTTTTTGAAAGTGCAAGTGGTTCTCTTGATATATTTGTTACCTGGCTCTGAAATTTCTAGAACACCAATTCAAAGTGTCGATAGTGCTGTTGAGAGTTTGGAAGATTCCCCAGTTGGCCAACAGAGAGCAAGTTCCGTAACTCGTCGTGTAGGCATTCAAGAACAAATGATCAAATACCGCAGCGGAGGTAACTATATAAATTAAGACTACTAAGTTTAGTAACATCGTTTCCAGAGCTAGGGAGGTAGTTTCTGAAGTCAGATAAGCTCAAATACTGATATAGGTTAATACATAAAACAGCAATAGTATTGAACTAAGTTTTGTATTTTCAGGTGATGATCGTGTTGACTGGCGGGCGACTCACGATTATGTAAATAATAATGCTCCAATGCAAAGTCCACTTTCACCCTGTCATACAAATGAGACCCCCAATCCTACCTCAATTAATCCTGGTACAAAACACTTTCACTTTGCTGTCTTACGAGTGCGCGAAAAA